CAGCTCAAGCCAGCGATGAATGGTACCGAGAGGCAGTAATTTCCTACAGGTATTGAGATATGGTGTAATTCTATTGAATCCACATCGAATATTGAAGCAGGATTATAAGAAAAAAATTTTCAGAGCTCAGTAATTCTTTTTGAGATCCCCAGAACTTTATTCTACTGGATTTGACCAGCTATGCTTGTTTCGAATGCAAAAGTGATCCATCGAGATCCATGCCTCCATTCAGTTACTGAGAAATCCTAGTTCTCAGTGATTAGCTCGCACTATTGCATATTGTGCGATGTATTAATCATCACTTTATGAAGAGCACTTTTCCGCTCAACATAAATTTACAACATTCTCCAATGGAATGAAAGAAAAACACCGAAAGCTGACATGCGGATCGAATGGATAATCGCGGCAATAAACATCGCAAGTTTCAGCGGAGAAAGCAGTACAGCCAGTTTCTAGCATAGGTCGACGATTGAAGCCTATTATTTCAGTGACACAAATAGTTTGTTCGATATTACACTTATAAGTGATGTTTTGTTAATTATTTTTTTGGGTACGCTATTGCTTCACATAGCTAGCAGTTAATAATGGACAAAAAATATAGAGTTTGGGAGAGCCCTTGACGAACAGAACTGAACTAGTGCAGGATTTATGAAAAATATTGTGAGCTACAGATTACGCGCGACGTAATGATGTGAACAACATATCTATAATTTCGTCGGAAAATGTGAGTGATGAGTGAGCAAATAATGGAAGATAGAACGCCAAGAGAGCATTACAGTGAACAAGTTTCACCTCGATAGACTTATGAACGAAAATAGTCAAAAAGAGGATGAATGAGGGTGAAAGTGAATTTTATAGCGGAAACTGGGAGAAATCTCCGAGAGACGGTTTTCACAGCTGCTGAACTACGAAAGGTACAAGAGGGAAATTCTGAAATACGCGCAGGAGCTGAAACTTCTTGAAAACCTCAACCAAGCTATTCAGTTCTCACTTCAAAAAAGCCATTGACTCAGCAACCCGGACATGATAACAAGAATGCTATACAAAGTCGCACAATGCGAAGGTATTGGCCGTCTGGTTATCGTGCGAGTCAAACAATGACTGTACAGAGTGGTAGGCCCACATGTGATTGTATACGCTAACAAGTAACATTCAGCAACGTTCTATAGCTGAGAAAAGTGAATAGAACTAGTAGGTATGGACTAGACGGGCTTCAAAGGAACTTTTTTTTAAAGAGATTCGATTGCTTTAGCTGCCAAGGCTTTCAGAAGCAATAAATACGTTTGACTCAAGAACAAAATGTAACTCAATTCAGAAGAGTGTGTTAATTGCTTTTCATTTGAAATCATTGCTTTGACTTCTCGATTATTGTACTTTAATGTACTTATCTCAACTTCCGGAGATAGGCAAACTGGTGACGTTTAAAAAAGCACTGCTTACATTTATTGAAGGAAAATTACTATTCTTCAAATGAATTTTGAGTGACGTTCTATAGCAGAAGGCGAGAATCTCTGAAGAAATATCCTATAGTCAAGC